GGCTGTTACACAGGCCTGACTCACCCTGATCTGCAGGCGTCCGTGGCACTATGCATGGGATGGAACCCGTGGTTTCAACCAGCGATCCAGTCGTCAAGGTAATTGAGAATGCGGATTCCCATCTGTCTCAGTTTATACTTCGTAAAAGTGCAGGGGGCCAGGGACAGCCCGAAGGGAAGGACCGTGTATTGATAAGCCACTCCCTCGAAGCCGAATCTCAAGTATCGACTGTGATGGGGGGCTATCTGGATGTGAAAGTATGCATCCTTCAGGTCCAGAGAAAAGAACCAGTCCCCTGAGCGAATTTGCACGAGGATCTTTCCTGAGCGAATTTGCACAAGGATCTGTTTCAGCATAGTCATCCTGAACGATCTTTTCATGAGGGCATGATTCAGGTGTCTGAGATCGAGGAGGGGCCGGAGGCCACCATCTCTTTTGGGGACGAGGAAGTAACGGCTGTAGAAGCCTGACTCGCTCTGGGCTGGAGGAACCATTTCCACTGCTCCTTTTGCCAGCAAATTCATCACCTCTGAGCGCAGGACGTGATCGTCCTTGCTTTGCACTGAGGTGGGGACCACGCCGCTGAAGTGAGGGGGTCTTCGAGCGAATTGGAGTGAATATCCTTGTTTTATTATCCCCATAACCCATCTCGACACTCTGGGGATGGCCTGCCAGGCCTTGGCCCGCGTGGCGAGGGGTTGAATTAACTCGGGTGACTGGCCGCACGGGGGCAGAACACTTATGAGTAATGGAAGAGGAAGTTTGCTCTCTTTTTGAAATATTTTGTGTTTTATTTTTTCCGTTATCACAGCGGTTGAATGCTTGGGTGCATGAACGGACAAGTTGTTTGCACAAAACACATTTCCCTCTACCCGGAGTTGAACGGGGTGTCAAGAGGTCTAAAAGAGGCTGCTTGAGGGGTGGTCCGGCCGTAGCGAGATCTGACCCCATCTTCTTCCTGTCTCGCAGAGCAGGATGATGCCTGAGGCGCCGGGTCCAACGCAATCTTGGGTCGGGGTCCTTGGCGCTTAGGAAGAGGGTAGCGTTTGGCCGAGCTAGAGCATCCCCGCGTCTGCTGCGCTTTAGCGGACTGAACGGCGGGGGCGGCAGGTGCTGGTTTTGCGGGCTGCTGAGTCGGCGCATACTTAGGGCGAGCAGAGGCAGCAGCGGAGCTGGAGCGCTTAGGCAGGAAATGTCGCATAGCCTGGGACGATTTCTGTGCCTTCCATGAAGCGCTCAGCGAATCCTTCGACCGCCGGGCCGAAAAAACCTTTGGGAGAGACTGGAGCATTGAGGAAGGGGATCTTATCCGCGTCCTTGATCTCTGTCAGCATCAGCCACAAATGGCGCTCGAGCACCACAAGGCTGGCCATCGATCTCCCAATCACCTGGGCGGTGGTCTTGGTGGCGCACAGAGCCAGGTCGGTTGCGCTCCTCAGATCCCTGAGGGTTGCGGGGCCCAGGCCAGACTCATCGGAGGATGCAAGGATTTTGGCCTGGAAGACCTGGAGGACCGCCATTGAATGATGCGCTGAAGCCGCCTGTCCAGCTAAAGTGTAGGCGCGTCCAGCGAGAGCTGAAGTGGTCCGACACGGCTTGGATGGGTGAGCGGCCTTTGCTCTCCAGCCGATGGCCATGGGCGGGCAGAGATGCGCGGCCACTGACTCATCTAGGGGAGGTGGCTTATCGTACCCTTTTTCTTCAGCGCCGTCGATGGAAGTGAGGGCAGATGAAGAAGCAGTACGGAGGCGGGCGGAGTAGGGTGCGCGCCACGATCTGGTGAGCTCGTCATGGACCTCCGGGAAAAACGGAAAGGAATGCTGACGAGGGGTCTGGTGGCGCCCCGGCAGGAACCACTCATCCAGACGGCTGCGAGATGGCTCCTCTGGTGGAAAATGAGACCAGGTTGCTCGCACCAGCAGAGGGACGCTGATCAGACTGGGAGAAAAGGATGGGAGAATACTCTCTCTGGGGCGAGAGCAAAGCACGCGGGATCTGGGCCGATGTGGGCTCGCTCGCAACCGGTCGCTCGAGCCCTCTGCCCCGCTGTTTTTTCCTCACAGGTCCCTGGGAGGAAGAAAACGGGAG